GTGGTGGAGATGGGGGTGGTGGAGATGGGGGTGGTGGAGATGGGGGTGGTGGAGATGGGGGTGGTGGTGGTGGTGGTGGTGGTGGAGATGGGGGTGGTGGAGATGGGAGTGGTGGAGATTGTGGTGAAGCTTGTCACAGTAGATGGGGGTGGTGTGGAGGAACCACAAATATTGAAGTGCTGCTCCACTGTCCCATTGGAGGTGCAGATCTCCCAGTAGCAGAAAATACCATCCCGGGTCTCGTTAACAATCTTCCCTGCACAGGAGGAATGAGTCCGTCAACCAAACAGGAAAGACAGACTTTCAAGGCTCCCCCGGTTTATCACATCTGAGGGAAGACTGGAGACACGTTCCAGCGGGACTGTATGCCCAGAGCCTCTCGCTTTGAAGGAGCATCATTGAGCATCACAGACAATGAGCACAGAACCCAGATGCACTAGAGATGCCCTAGAGATGCCCTAGAAACTCCCCATAGGGTACCGCTCCCATTGGAGAAAGGGAACAAAGATGCGTAGCGTGAGCCCCTCAGGCTTGCTGTACAGCTCAGCAAGCGGAAGCAGGAGAGGGCGTGGACAACAAGGAAGCAGAGGAAGGAAAGCTTCCCCACCCGAGGCCAGGTCCCATGCGTACAAGAACAGCCCACAGGCTTCCCGGGCTGGGACCTCTAACCCTCTACCTTCTGGAACCCAGCAGGGGGCAGCTCACCTTCATCTGGATGGCAGATGATGTCTGAGGTGTTGGTGCATGTACTGAAAAGCCAAACAAGTGTAAATGCTACAGGTCGGCCCCGTAACCTTTCTGCACACAGACGCCACATGCCCATCTCCCTGTGCCCTGGCCCGAGGTCCCCAGAGTACTGCCCCAAACACAAGCTACAGAGAAACCCACCCACTGTGTTCTAAATGTGACCAGCCAGATGGAGTGAAGCAAGCTAAGAAAAAGCCAATCCAAGAGGATGGGGTGAGCTCAAAAGGCCTCCCCACCCCCCAAAAACCACCTCCCTACTTAAGCTCCTATGACCATACATGTGTACATGTGTGATTGGATGCGCAACAGGGTGTGCTGTGCCCATGTGTGTGTGTATGTGTGCATGTATGTATGCACATTGAATGGGCTATGCATGCATGTGTGCCATGAGCCATGTGTGTGCTTGCATGCAAATATGCACCTAATACAGAGTGACCATATTTCCATGTGTATGAACATGGGATGTGTGTGTGTGTGTGTGTGTGTGTGTGTGTGCCAACCTTTCCCAGACCCTGTGCAATGCAGACTCAGTACCAAGACATGCAGATCTCCTCAGTGGGAACAGGGTCTCCAGGTAGGTAGCGAGTGTCCTCAATATAGCAGCCACACTGGTCCCCAGAGACGCATTTCTTCCAGTCCTCATCATAGATGGGCCTGTCCTCAGGGCACCGAGGGTAGCAACCTAGTGGGTACAGGCAATGGGGCTCAGTCCACCCCATCTGGTACTGTCCTTGGAGATGTTCATGTGTGAAGACCGAGAGTCAGAAGACAGGGTTTGTGTCTCTCCTGCAGCTAGGGCGTTCTGCTCCCCACATGCCCGCATGGTTCCCACCCATGAGTTAGCCTGCTCCTCTGCCTCCCCTTCAGGAGGCGGGTCCTTAGCTGGGCTCCCTGGCCCCAGTTCAGTGAGGAGACTGTGGTGAAAAGAACCTTGTTCCTCCAACCAAGCCTCTCAGCCCTTGGGCCCCTCTCACATGCCCCCATGTGTCTCCATGATGGTGGCCCGCAGGCTGACAGGGCCCTCCCCTTGGCGGCTACCTCCCTGGAGGGCCCTGCCTGCTCACCCTCCAGGTAGGACACAGAGATGTTGGAGTGGATGCCGTTGAGGGTCCTGCACGTCTCGAAGCTGCGGTTCCCACACGGTTCGTAGTGCCATTCGCACTCGTCTGGGGGGTTGTAGTAATCACAGAATATGGCTAGAGGGGGAGAGGATGGGGACATGGTCAGGCTTAGGAGCATATAAACGGGTGTCCAGGTAAGCCTGAGTCAGGGGACATGAGCAGGAACAGGATCCGTCCACTCCCACCAACATAACTCTCCCTATGGCCCGAGAAAGGGCATCTGGGGACAAGAACTGGGATGGTGGACATCCAGTCATCACTTGGATAGGGAAGGAAGGTGCTGTCCGCCATGAGCACTCACGGCATAGGTCCGGCGTCCTCCAGTACACACAGGCCTCTGCCTTGGTGCACTCCTGAGCGTAGGAGGCCACAGCAGAGCAGAAACACTCGCAGTCACCACCCGTGTCACAGGAGCAGGAGTCATGCACACAGGCCTCATAGAAGACCGTGGGGTCCACCTAGGAAGAAGACTTTAATGTGCCCATGGTCCACACTGCCCTTAGAGGGCTGGAACTCAGGATGCTGAAGCTGGCCCATACCCCCAGTGCGGCTGATGGAGCTGGTTCAGACCACCCTAGCCAGGAGTTTCGTCACCCATACCCTGAGTACCTCAAGATGACCATCCTAAAACTGGCCCTCCCCCTGCTAGCTTCTAGGCCCTAACAAAATAAGTCCTTTATCTCCCTCCCTGGTGATCATGCAATCAGGGCAGAGGAGGTCAGGTTCCAACCAGGAATCTCAGAGAGAAAGGCTGATCACCTAATTACCAGCTCAAAGAACAAAGTGCACAGAGCCGGAGGGAAAAAAATACCTCATAGTGATACAGCAACATGCCTCCACGTGTCCTTAACCCACTCGGAGAGGCCAGGAGCCCCAAAAGCAACCACAGTAAGACTAATAAGCTACACCCCTCTCATGGCCACAGTCATGCTTACCAGTCTCTCTCGGTGGCCCCCAACCATGGCCCTGAACACAACTCTAACACACCTATAGGTGGGACTTTGCCTACGGAGCCCTTTGCCCATGCCCACAGTCCACCCATACCTGTGCCCCCCGCCCATACTTGTTTGTCCATTCCCGTGGACCACCCACACATGTGCCGCTGCCCACACAGGTGGCCCCACTCATGCATGCAGCCCTGCCTACTCTGCCGCGACCCTACCCACGCCTGCAGCGCCAACCTACCTTGCTGTGGCACGCTTTGAACACACGACTTTTGATGATGCTGCACTGCTTCTCTGCCCAGGAGCGACGGTGCGGGTTCAGACTGCAGGGGTCAGGGGTGTGGCTCACATCTGGGCAAGTGGAAGCTTCCTTCCAGCTATTCCCAAAGTCCAGCTCGCTGGTCACCACCATGTGGTCCCGAGTGGTGAAGTCGTTTTTGGTCTGGTCATCAAAGTTCCCACACAGACCACATACCGTGCCCTGCAGGAGGAAAGACGGGAATCTTCAGCTCCAGAAGGTCTTCGGGTGGGTGATTGCAGCACCCACAGTGCCTATGCTGGGGGCAGCCCGGGGCGCAGCTGGCATCTGGGTGGCCCACCTTGTAAGAGGGAGCCAGTTTGATGAAGATGGTGGTCTTCTTGTCCCAGATAACAATGATACCAGAGCTGGCCTCCACCACCAGGTACTGGCCCACTTCCCGTGTGATATAGGGCACATGATGCCCCTCTTCCAACTGCTTCACCACGCGGTGTTTATCCACCAACTTCAGCTCTGTCCCCTATCCAGAGGAAAAGGCGGTCACGACTGTGTCCAAGGGTTCCCCGGGGCTTTCCTGTCCCAGGAAGCCGCAGTACTCACCCCTATAAAGATCTTTATGGCCTTGGAGCAGGTGACGCCGGTCGTGCCGCAGGGGACGTTCTCTGTGATAATGCTGAAGGAGCCGGTAGAGTTCTGGCCACAGTAGTCCTGGGGCCCACACGACAGTGTCAGTCCAGAAGGCCAGGACACGGATGCCTACCCCAGCTGGCAAGGCTAAAGCTACCTCTCTGAGTAGAAAATGCTCTGCCCTTCCCCATCTGAGATGGGAGGCCCTAACTCAAACCTCCTCCAGCCAGATCTTCTGTGGTCTAGGAATGATGACAGCACACAAAGGGCACAAGGGGTAGTAGCTGGGCCTGTCTACACACACACACACACACACACACACACACAAGAGAGAGAGAGAGAAAGAGAGAGCAGGCTTTCTCAACACCCCCATCCCCATGCATGGGTAAGGCAATAGAGGGAGGAAAGGGGTTTACTACACTCTCTGTTCGTTGCTGGGAGCCCAAATCCTGGCAGTGTGGGTTCCAGGATGAGGAAATGCTGGCCCCTCCCACCCCAAGGGCCCTCTCTCATATCTCAGGGCAAGTCTCTTCCTGGAGGGGTCCACAGCCTCACCTGGACAGCCACATAGGAGCAGTGTCCATCAAAGTCGTAGTGCTTCCCGTCGAAGGTGATGTAGTGGCCGCTCCCATAGATAGAGCAGGTGCCGTGGCACGCGTGGCGGGTGCACTCCCAGCGTCCCTTCTGACAAGTGCTGGAGAGAAAAGCAGAGGAGCCTGAAGGGGCCTGAGGGCAAGACTTCCATCTGCTCTTGGAGAGCAGCTTGGGTGAAAGCCTGGACACCACGGAGATAGCTCCTGAGGTCCATCTAGGAAAGCTGCAAGCACCTGTCCTGGCCTAAAAGAGTCACCTGCCTCCAGGACAAGGGGTAGACACAAGGCTTGGCCCATCAACAGAGCGGGGACCACCTTGTATCCCCACAAAAGCAGCCCACTCCCTCCAGTGCAGCCGAACTGGGCCAGCTCACCAGGTGTTGTTACAGTCCAGATTGATCGTCGTCCCAGAATCATATAAGTCTTTGTTGTGGATGCAAGGACATTCCTCCTCCTTCACACAGCCACCACGGCCATCATCCAGCATCCCATCGGGACACACACAGCCACTGATACACTCTGTGTTGTACTGGAATAAGAAGGGCTCGGATGAGAACCAAAGCCTCCTTAAGGGGTCAAATGTAGATGCCCACGTGAGAAGATCTAACAGTGTCCTGGACCCCCCCCCCCAACTTCTCTTCCTGTCTCCTAAGCCCCCTCCTGTCAAGCTCATCCTGGCCAGGGAGACCAGGTAGGGTTGCTGGTCAAGGTCCCTAGGCTGTCCTCTGCCACTTCCGGGGTCACAGGGAGTATCTAAGACTCAGCCTCCAGCCTAGTGAATTGGCGGTGTAGGGGTCCGCCTTTTCCTCCACAGGGTACTCAGGCATCCAGAGAACCCTCAACCAGCCCTCCCACAGCAGCCCTCACTGGCACTCACATAGCCAGCCACCAATGTCTGGCAGCTAGTGGGGCGGGGTTTCCGGGTGGCCAGAGCGGTCAAGTTGTTGCAATCCACAAGGATCTTAGGGGACTCACAGCCTGTGGGGTGGAGGAGTCTGTCTTAGCTTAAGGTGAATTCAGGGTACCAGGTAAGTAGGGAGGGGAAACAAGACTCAGCGGGCCTACACGGTACGAATCCACTTACTGTGGCCGATCAGTTTGACCTGGGTGCATTGCAGCCTCCCGTTCCGGCAGACGCTATGAGGAAGAAGTGGGAAGGGATGAATGTGGCCCAGGTCTGTCCCCACACAGGACAGACGCCAGCCAGGCCACTCTCAGAATCTCACCCCTGGCACCTCTGCACCATTTGAGAGCCTCAGGTCCCACAGGTAGATTCCGCGCACACATGCACGCACGCACACACACACACACACACACACACACACACCGACGCATTTTTTTCACTTGGGGCAAAGATCCAAGAGCAGCCCCCTCCCCAGTCTGTGGGCCCGTTTTCAATCCAGGCCACTCACCAGCGCTCCTCTTGCCTCAGAATCACATCTCCTGCCTCCAGGTACAGACCGTGGTGGTAGCAGGAGCACTTAGCCAAGGGCACGCAGCGGCCCTTCTCGTCCATGAAGGTATAGTCGGGGCAGCCACAGCCTTCCACTGGTGCAAATCCCTTGAGGCAGTGGCTGTCACCCTCCGAGAGTGAGCGGCAGGTCTGCTGGCAAGTGGTTAGGTTGTACAGGAAGATCTGTGAGCTGGGGCAAGCGTGCACATCTTTGTCTGCAGAGGAAACCACGGGCGTAAGGGGCAAAGGGACTGGACTCCATGTACCGTCCCTATAGGCTGTCCCTGAGTTTCTCCCTCCACCAGGGCTGAAGATACCTGCCTAGCCCAAAGGCCAGAAGGGCGGGCACCCTGGAAACCCCTCCCAGGCCCCTGGACTCAGCTGCCACAGCCATGGCTACCCCACAGCCCGTCACCGCAGAACTCCGCTCCTCGCTGCAAGCAGAGAGCCTGAAAAGCCAGGCCACTCTGCTGCTTCCGCTTCCGGCAGAAGCCAGGTGGCAGCTACAGGGAGCTGGGCCCCCCCCCTGGCCTGAGTGTGGCCAGCCCTGGGGTTCTGTCCAGACAGCCATCTTAGAAAGCAGCCAGCCGGGAAGCACTCACTGCAGACACGCTCCCGCCAGCCCCACAGCATGACACCCTTGGCCGCGCAGGCACGGGCATAGGAAGAGAGGGCGGCACACATGCAGTCCTCGTTGTTCTGACAGTTGCACGTGTCATATTTGCACCTCTAGGAGGCAAAGCAAAGTGAGAGACAGTGAGGTGAGGAGGCCGGGCGCATGGTTCGGCACCCTGTGCACCCAAGTGAACATACGTTGTGCACGCCTGCCAGCACACAGGCACACACACCCCCCCCAGCCACTCACAGGCGCAGCCAGGTGCCCCAGCCAACTCTGCCGGCTCTGGGGACACTGCATGCAGCGTGGCGTGTGCAGGGTCGGGGGGCGGTGAACTCACCTTGTAGTAGTCAGTGGGGTCCACAGCCAGATGGCACCTGGCAAACGGGGTCTCCGACCTCTTCAGAAGGGAACACCAGTGCTCAGCGTAATTGGCTGGAGAGTGGGTCGGAATCTTAGCATGGGCCAGGCTCCCTTTCACATACCCTAAGCCTAACGTCTGATCGCCCAGGATGGAGGTGACATGGTCTCCTGTGTGACCAAAGCCAGACCCCCCCCTTCCTTCCTCCCTTCATAACAGAGCTGATGAGACCTCTTTGCATAACACCCACCTCTCCCTTTCTCAACCCAAAGGGGTTAGAAATCCCCAAAATGGAGGCCTGGGTAGGAAGGCGTGTCATCCTAGCATTAGGTCAGGCCTAGATGAGATCCACTTAGCAGTTAGCCTGCCCAACCCATCTGCTTTGTCTCTTGGAAATCTACCACTGTGGCACCATTCTAAACTAGCCAAAACAGCCGATGAATGTGCTGGTCCCCATCCCATGAGCCATGCGACCTCCACCCATCCCTCACCCACATACCATGTCCCCATTAGGAGCCCCATCTGCTTTGAGGCCATACTGGTCAGGATTGTGTGTCAAAACAACGCAGTGGACAGCAACCAGCTCCCCCTGAGCCTTACCGCTCTCAATGTTGAGGGAACAGGGGTCATCTAGCCAGTCCAGTTTGTCATGGCAGCTTGACTGGGCCTTCCAGGTATTGGCGAAGCCAGAACCCGTGGCCTCCACCAGCCCGCCAGATGTCATGAAGTCATCACTTTCCAGGCCATTGAAGTTCCCACAGAGACCTAAAGGACCAGGACAGGATTAGGAAGGATCTGGGGGATGGCAGGGGGCACAATCCTCACGGGGCTTTTTCAAGGACAGAACGGGAAAGGACCACTCACCCTGCACCTGTCCCTGGGAAGCCTGGTCCAGAGTCACAAAAAGTTGCATGACTGGAACCAACTGGACCTGCAGCCTCAGCCCAAACACCGTGTTCACAACGATGTGGTAGGAGGAGGGTTGGAAGATGGAGAAGCTCGCTGTAAGACAAGGACGTGGTGATAGGCAGAAGAGCTCCTTGGTTCCACCTTACTAGGAGGGCCTGTGCCCACCATCCCCCTACCACACCAGCAGGGATCCAAGAATAGAGACTGCCTGAGCACACCAGCCTCCTTGGCCCAGCCTCTTGGCCTGTCTGAATCCCAGCTGGCTCTGATGACTGGTAGCTGCTCAGGGCCCTCCCCAAGCCACTCACCTGCCACGTGAGGCAGGGTCACCTCCAGCTCATTGAGCAAGACGCTGCCACCCGATTTGAAGGCCACCACCTGCGAGAAATGTCGAGAGTGCATAGATCTGATCGGACAGGTGTGCAAGACCCAGGAATGCCGGAAAGGAAGTACGTGGGAGCACTCACATTCTTCTTGTTGTCAGTCAACAGTACCACGGTCTTCAGGCAGGTCTGCTTGTCTGTAGAGCCACAGGGAGCCAGCTCACCCAGGAGAGCAAAGGACTCATTATGGTCTCCCTGAATGGGAAAGAGTGGTAAAATTACTGACAGCCTCTTTTCACCCTGTTTCTAACTGCAACAGCATCCGTCATCCCAGAGTCAGTCTTTCCATCCTCCCCAGAAGACAGAGGGCCTCCATCTCCATCCAGGTAGCCCGGCTGGCCTACCTTGGTCAGGACATAGTAGCAGTCCCCATGAAAGGTAAACTTTTTCCCATCAAAGGTGGTGATGTGGGAGCCACCTTCCAGGGCACAGGTCTCCGGGCAAGGCAGGTCTTTACAATCCCATCGACCGGCTTTGCAGACACTGCCGGGAAGCAGGGCACGGGGTCAAGATTCAGTAACACCCCAGTCTGTCCGCCCTCCAGCCTCCACGCCCTGAGACTTACCACTGCTCACAGTCATTGGTAATCTCCTGGCCTGGCCTGTAGAGGTGTCCGTGCAGCTTGCAATGGCACTGGCTCACGGAGATGCAGCCGCTGCCCGTGATGTCATCATACACCGTGCCTGTGATAGTCAGAAGTGTAAACTTACCCTGGAAGCCTCAGGAAGTGCCAGTCTCCCCTCCCCCCAAGATGAGGCTGCCAGCCAGACCTCAACCCACAGGCATCTGGACCCCTCATCTGTCAACGAAGATTCTCATCTCCCAGCCCCTAAGGCTCATGGGAGGGAAGAATCCCACCCCCTCCCTGCCTGTTCCCCATCCAGTCTCTAGGACAAGGGACTTCCAGAGCACGTACCTTCTGGGCAGAAACAGCCATCCATATAGTGTTCTTCACACAAGCTACTGACCTCCAGATGCGAGCAGGTGTCGACACAGGGCGAGCTGCTCTCCAGGTACACCATGTTACCAGGGCATTTCTTGGCTAAAAAGCAAAGTCCACTCCATCAGTCCACACACAAGGAGCTAGCAGAGCGCCAAGGCCACGGACAGACAGATACAGTGTCTGGGTGCATGGCACAGACAGGGCTCCCAGCAGGGGCTCCCTAAACCCGGGGACACTAAGGCTGAGCACCCCCAGGGGTTGCCAGCTACTTACGGCAGAGCGAGGCGGTCCTCCAGTTCTGAGGTCGGCCGCCTGCGTGGGAGCACTGGCGGGAGAACTCAGCGAGGGTGCTGCACTCACAGGCGCCGCCCTGCGCGCACCGGCAGCGGTCCTGCATGCAGGCGCGCACATACAGCTCCACAGGCACCCGGGCCTGGCAGTCCTCGAAGGCTTCGGAAGTCAGCAGCCTCTCACATTCGGCTCGCTGAAGAGAGGAACATGAGCTCGGACAGCTGTCCACACCCCTCTTCCCACCCCTCAGAACGTGGGGATTCCCCCAACAAAGACCACCAGCAAGTACAGGTTTCCTGAGAGCGTGGAGTTCTCTAGCGGTGACTCACGTGTTCAGAGCAGGACTCGGGCTCTGGCACCACCTCGGGGTCCTGACATTCAACCTCAGGCTTGTTGATCTTCTGCATGTTCCCAAAGTCAATGGCGCTGTAGGATATGCCTAGGGACACAGCTGGTCAGCAGTGGTCCTCGGGAGCCAGGAGCCTGCAGCCACGCCCCTGTCTCCCTCCCAACAAGCCCAGCTTAGCACTCACCTTCAGAGAGGAACTCATTATAGGTCTGCATGCCATTGAAGTCCCCACAGAGGCCACAAGTGTGGTTCTGGAACCGGCTGTCCAGCTCTAGCTGTTGGAGGGGGCAGGGAGGGCAGGTGAGCAGGCCTCAGGGCCTAGCTTCTAGAGCCCCTAAGTCTAGACAGTTTCTCAGACAGGGCGGGTGGGAAGGAGGGCAGGGGTTGGCTACTAGGAAGGACAGCTTGGAGACAGCTCCCTGCAGGCATAGCACAGCGAGCCTCTCCTAGGTCAGGCCAGTGGAAGCTCTGGTGCCAACCACGGTCTCCAGCAGCTTTCTCCATCACACAGGATCTTACTCCATTGTGAGGTATGGGCACCCCACCCTCCTACTCCTCTGTGGAGCCGTCAGACATCTGGCCAGATAGAGGAGCCCCACCACCCCAGAGCCCCGGATGCTGGTGCTCACCATGAGTGCATCTTCCCGGTTCCACATGAGGGAGAGGCCGGCACGGGAGTAGACCTTGGTGTAGGCGTCATTCTTCTCAATGAGTAGCCCAGAGCTGTAGTGTGGGGTGCTGACCCTGGGGGGGGGGGAGTCACGATGAGGTCACTCACCAACCCACCATCCCAGAACTGACCCACTTGTCCTCCTGAGGGCTCTGCTGTCCGTAGGGTGCTAAGGCGATGGGCATTATCTGGGTGAAGTCAGTCCCAGCCTGGCTCCTTACTTGGCCAGTCTGTTCTCAACCAGAGCCACAGACTGACTTGGCCAAGCTCCAGAAGGAGGCCAGAGAGCCCTTGTTCCGGGCTAGGTGGATTTCCTTGGGGCAAAGCCAGGTCCTTCTGCCTATTTCCCTTCCCATGACCTCTCTGAGTCCTGGACAGAGGCCTTCCCAAGATCCCTAAAGGCAGTGGGTCTGGGATGTGTTGGGAACTGAGCCCTCAGCCCTCTCCAGACCCTCTGTTCAGAGGTATTTCCTCACAGAATCTGCCAGAGTGGGACTGCCAACCTCACTTCAGCACATCACCCTGGGGATCCCTATGCCAGAACCCCATCTCACTCCTGTGCTGGCCTGGAACTGCCACACCCCAGCCCCTCGAACCCCCATCCCTAGTGACTTCCGCTATACCCAACCCACACATGACAGCATGACCCAGGTAGATCAAGCAAGGTAAGGGAGCACTGGGAGAGCCTAAAGCAGGAAAAGAGCAAATCCCCAGGCGTGAACCTGCAGGACAGGAATGTATTTAAGAGGACCTCATTGTTACTGAGACAATGCAGGGAACAATGGGCTGGGCAAGCAACCTCCCCTTCTGAGCCTCTGCAACTTTACCCTGGGGGGGCATGTTCTAGGAGCCACCAGCCACATGGCCCCCAGGGGAAGTCTGCAAGGGACTCAGAGGGGACTCATCATTGTGGAAAGAATCCATGGCTTAGCTCAACCCTCAAAGCATTCCTATTAGCCGTGTACCAGGGCAGAAGAGGCTGGCTAGTTTGTTCAAATAATTCAGGGTCAAACTTGCTCCGAGGAGTCAGAGCATCCCCCTGGCTGCTGGGACATGGGAGAAGAGTATTTATCCCACTCACATGACCCCATTCACCACTGCCAGCTTGTGGGTGAGGTAGATGACATCATCCTTAATGGTGATCAGGATGGACTCTATCCGGGAGTGACCCCCGGCCTCGCCCAAGCCCCTCTTAATGTGTACAGCAAATTCCTTGTAGGAGTCTCGGCAGTCAGAAGCAAAGTTATAATCACAGAGGCCAGGGAATCGGAAGACATCGCCGTCAAAGGTTTTGTAGTGGAAGTCACCCCAGGTGCTGCAGACATGGTTTCGGGTTCTGGCTTCTGGGAGGACAGGCGGGACACAAGGTGAGACACCCAAGATCAAGGAGGGCCTCCCTGGGCCCACTCACCAAATTAACCCCAGAGGTCCCTCTGGGGTACCCATCTAGGGCTCCAGACCAGGATTTCTGGCCAAGCTTGCCCCCCATACAGAAGCAGTCTCTGCTAAGAGACTGTCAGTCAAGGAGCTAGCTAGTCTGGAAGCAGAGAAGTGCAGAGGGGCCTTTCGGGCGACCTGGTTGTTCTGTCCGGCTGGCCACCACACGCCTATTTGTCACTGCTCAGCCTCTCTTCAGTTTCATCATCATGGAACTGTCTAAATGCCTGTCTAAATTCCTCTGAGACTGAGCATTTTTCTTATTTTCATTTATATGTCTTTCTAAGGCTTGTATCTTATCAACTCAATTTCTACATCTAGCACCAAAAAAGCCTCAACCGATGCCCCATTTAGCCCCCTCCACCCATCCCTTGGTCTTCAGAAATCCCCAATGAGACATCCCCCATCCATAGCTTTGTCCTGATGGGACAGAAATTCCCCCATGTGGACATGCAGCCCGTTCTCCAGAGGGGCTGTCTTGCCAACAGTCCCCACACCTGGAACCGTCCTAAGCTTGGCTTCTTCTAGACATCCAATGTTTCCCCTACTCCTGGGGACAACAGTTTCCCTGGAGATTGCAGCTTCTCATCTACCTAGTGCAGGACCCTCAGCTTTCAACCTCAGAGCAGTGGTGAGAGACCTAAGACCCAGTCCAACTGGGGGTCCCAAGAGGCCCTTCCTGGGACCCCCCTTCTATTCCAGGAGCTCCTTGTTTAGCTACTCTGGACTACCCAGCCTTCCCCTCCTCAGGGTGCTCTGCCTGTTCCCTCACCCAGACCACCCATCGCCTTACCTTTCTGGAGCTCCGAGCCCTTGGCCAAGGCCAGGACTAGGCACACAGCCACCAGGCGAGCTAGTGGCAGCCCCATGGTGGCTCCGGAGGGTGGCACAGGAGAGCATCCCAGGGCAGGGGTCCAGGACTTATATGCCTAGCAAGCATCTGAGGGCGGGAGGACGAGGGAGGTGCGAAGGGTGGGTGGGGCATTTGCCGAGTTATCAGGAAAACAGCTGTGGGGGCTCCACGGGTCCCAGTGAGGAAATATTGATTCAGGTTATCTGGGTTTATCTTTATACGACTCCTTGGGTAAACTTGGCCTTCCTCAGGATGTCACAGCCCCAATTATCCCAATGCCAGCACACACCCCAGGCGAACGCCATTCCTTTAAGCTCTAAGCCAGGCCAGTCTCAGGTTGGGAGAGGCAGGAGGTCCCTGCTGGAATTACATCCTAAAAGTTCTGCCTTACCCTTCTGAATGCCTCCCAGATCTACCCGAAACCTCCAACACAGCCCGGGTAGAAGAAGGCGCTTTCGGGTGTCTCTCAAGCTCTCCGCTCTATTGTCCCATGAGCCATGTGGGCTGAGACAACCATGATTCCTGAAGCACCTCAGTTCACGTCATCTGGGGGAGACAAGCGTGGCAGGAAATCAAGACTCCAGAGGGGGATGTCTCTCCCCCATTTCACCATCCACCTCCAGCAGGCAGGGAGCAGTGGGGACCTGGGGGCCACCTGTCTCCCTGGAGCCTTCTGTACGCTACCAAGCCCAGCTAAGTCCACTCTCTAATCCCCTTATTTTCCCAGGCTCTGCCAGTCTCTGGAATTACATGTAATTAGAACTTGGGCAGCTCTCGGCCCAGGCAACGACTCTTATTGGAATCATGTCCCTGGGGTGCAAGAGGAAGTGGCTGGAAGCCTGGTGTGGCCACTCAGTGAGAATGGGGTCTGAGCACAGAGGTTAGCCCCAGCCCAGCAGGTCCTGGGAGACTCCTGCAGAGTCTCCTGAGGCTAACACTTCTTCTTAGGACATGTGGGCTCGGCCCGCCTGTCCTGTTTCCTACCCACAGCTATTACTCAAAGGATGTGATCCTGCCCCAAAAAGAGCAGTGACCCCGATGAAGCCTCAGTCCCCCTGAGCTTAGCCCAAAGCTCCAGCTGCCTCACCAATGTCTGGAAATGGAATCAGGGTGCAGCACCAGAGCTGGTAAAAACCACAAATGTGAGCCTACGTGAGACACCAAATCCCAAGGTCTACACAAGGGTGGAAAGGCACAGGTGGCCACCCATGCTATAGCTGGATCCTAAACTGAGACCTAGGGACACCCTCCCCCAGATCTTCCTCTTGCTGAAACCAACAACAGGTCCTGACTTTGGCTAGAGCACACACAGCAAATTGGGTCACATGGTGACTCAGGCTTCAATTGGGTCCCAACTTGTAGAGGTGAATGAAGAAAAATACACTGATGGACACAGACTCTGAATGGGGTGGGGGGGCAGGGAATGGCAACTCCTTCCCTAGGCTACCATGATGCCCTTCCAGGCTCTGCACAAAAGCCACATCCTGGGCTAGAGAGACAGTACTGCTGGGAATAGCACCTGTCCTATAATGCCACCTCCTGGGACCTCCATGCTATCCCAGCTGGAGCCAGAAAAGGTTCCATGTCCTACAAAGACATCTAAGATAAAAAATGACCAACAGCATGGGTGTGGGTGGGAGCACTCTTCACATCTCACTGTGTCCATCAGCGCCATCTGTGTTCTGTCCTCCCTACTGTGGCTCTGGCATGTGGAAGAACCTGAGTGTGGCCTGAGCCCAAAAATTAAGGATTAGGGAACCAGACCCAGCTGGGCCAAGGAAACCATTGTTTGATTTCCTATGTGGGCCCCTCAGGCTGGCACCATGCCTGCAGAAACCCAAGGATGGACCTGGCCTGTGGTTTTCCATGCCATGTTCTCTCTGCTATGGTGGAAGCCAGAGGAATCCTGGCCAGACTCATGACACACGGGACAGACCTCTGAACTGAGCTCTGAGAAGCCAGGTCTTCTCTACATGGAAGAAGAAAGTCCTCCCTGGAGGGAGGGAGCAGCTCTTCTCCGGCTGAGGAAGCCTGACTCTCCCTGGGTAGATGGTCAACACTGTGTTCTCATTGGACGGAGCAGTGGTGATGACGTCGAGCTGAGGGATGGACGTGACTCTAACAGACCTCATGACCCACTGCAGGGTCTCAAAGCGGCTTGTATGAGCTTTGGTGTCAGGCAGCCCAGCACGTGGCTGGACACAGTGGTCAAGCGGCAGTCCTCGTGGTGGGAGGGAGCTGATGTAAGGGCAGATGGCAGTGAGGGCTCTGTCAAGCTGGAGTGGCTTTACCACCTGCTTTTCAGCTACCAACTTTGGTTTTTGCATGCCCTAGTGAAGAATGAGGACCAGGTCAGCCTAGGTGGGGGTTGGGGGACAACTAAGTTTCTACAACAAGACAAACATGAGCTGGAAAGCACTGAGCGCCCGGACAGGGGCTCGCCACATGTAGCAGATTCTCAGACTACTATGCATGTGGCAGACACACAGAGGATGACTCCAGCAACTTGATCAACCCTCCTCTGTGCAGGGGTCTGATGGGCAGCTACTACGGGCCTCGAAGCTCGCTTTTCCACTCTCGGCTCCAGAGGCCTCCACTCCCACCTCCCTGCAGCTTCTCCCCAGGAAGTGAAAGACTCTGATAAAGGAGAGCAGACGTCAATACTTTGAGGAAGCTGCTGGGCAGTGCCACTTATCTGCAACAAGGATGTGGCAGCTGAGGTGAGAATGACTTCCCCACCCAGTCACAGGTAGACACTGCTGGGCAGCAGGCTGCCTGCCCAGTCCTTAAGTTAGACTAGAACTGAAACCAACAGCGGACATGGTCTCGGGCACTCTGAGCCTTCTTCGGCCGGTCCCACGCCCTGCAGTGTTTACCGGGACAAGACACTGTTCCTGGGGACTGCACAGAATTTACAGCCTTGACTGCAGGGAGGAGGCACCAAAGACGTCACAGGCTCCTAAAGTGAATGTTCCACTCTGTCTGTCCACACATTGAGTCATCCGGAAGCTGGAGGGGAGGGGAGCAGGGGCTACAGGAGGAGAAGGGAGAGGGAGGCAGAAGAAAGGATGAGGGAAGAGAGAAGAGGGAGCCCACCACAAATGGGGATGATCCAAGCCCCACCCCAATATTCAACGGTTTCTGTTGGTTGTCAGCTTGGCTGAGCCCCAGCACCTGACGTTTGGTCAGACACTAGTCTCGATGTTGCTGTGAAGGTGGGATTCAACTGTGAGCAGATGGTCATCCCTGGAGTGGGTAGTGTGGTCTTGCCAAAAGAAACCAAGGTCTGCAAGAGGACTCTACTTCAAGCTCTGCTTTGAGTCTCCCATTTGCTGGCTTCCGTGCAGGCTTCAGACTTGCAGCCCCAGCATTTCATGAGCCAACACCTTAAAGTAACCCCCGTCTGTGTGTGTGCACTCACACACGCCCTGCTGCTTCAGTTTCCCTGAAGAACTCTGAGGAGTGCGTCTTGCATAACACAACCACTCCTTACTCCGGGCAGGAGACAGCCATGCAGCCCATCCCTACTGCATCTTTGTGGGCTCCCTACCCAAGACAGCTCCTCTCTCCCCACCCCATTTTGACCCCACAGATATTTACTGTGCCCGCCACGTGTCTGGTCTCAGGCCACCCCCCTATGATGCTCTGTGGTCAGTTCCATTACTAGCACCTCTTACAGACACAGAAATTGAATTGCTGAGGATCTTGTGTCTCAGCTGGTACAACAGCGTCTCTCCGGGCACAGGAAACCAGGCTTACTTGACACCCATGCTGACCCTTGCCCCTGCCTCTTGCCATCCTGGTCAAGCATCCAACACCAGGCTACCACGCCCCTAGACAGCCGGATTTAGCTGAAGTTGGAAGCTAGTGATCCCACCATGGTAAGCAAATGGAGAGTACTCCCAGAGAAGCCACAGTTCTCAGCCCTTCCGGATTCCTAAAGGAGACCCAGGCCCAGTCACTCACGGACAGAGCAGCAAGTCATGGACCTAGGCCCAGACAGCCAAGCATTTGTCATACAGCCATCTCTGCAGGTGCTCCCTGAAACATGAGAAAGGCAAGTGCCATCACTGCAAATGGGTCCCTCGCCTGGGCCTTCAGAGGCTTGAGAAGACAGGGAACAGACAGACCTGACCACACACATTGCCTTACAGGAGTTTCCAGGAAAGGAGTCAGCTCAGCACAGGACGTGAAGGCTGAGGGAGAAAGCAATAGAGGGTTTGGTAGGCTCCACTGGGTAGGTCCATACAGGACAGGCTACTCCTTGTTCCCCTCCCCAAGTCTATCAGGCAGGCCATTGCCTTTCAAGAGTTCAGCTATTCTGGTGTAAGTCCTCCTCCCGTCTCTCCTGAAAACCTGGTTCAGTTCTCACACTCACACAGACCGTTGTCCTCACCACCCAGGCCATACTGGGTGACCATTTCTGTTGTGAGTACATCAAGGACAGCAGCCTATGTGTCGTTCTCATGGGACACCCTCACAACAAATGCATCCAATGAGCTTTGCTTCTGGATTGGAGAAGGGAGTATAGCGTATGGATGGGTGGATGAACGGATGATGGGTGGATGAGTGGCGGGTAGATGTCTGAATGACTGAATGAGAAGTAGGTGGATGGATAGGTGAGTGAGTGAGTGAGTGAGTGAGTGAGTGAGTGAGTGAGTGAGTGAGTGGGTAGGTGGGTATATATGTCTTTTTATGTTTTAAATTGGAAGGGATTTTGACTGCGGTTGCATTGAACACAGAGTTTAGAAGAATCGACACCCAGAAAGATCAGTCTTCTAGCCTGTGACTCTGCATGGGTCTCTGTCTGAGTCTTGGGTCTTGAAGTGGAAGTTTCTGGTTTCTTTGAAGACTCAGTTGAGTCATGTGATGTTTTGCTAGAAGCTGTGAGAGGGTCCATGTTTTGTTGGAGGCTGGCTTGTGAGAGGTCACGTGGTGTTTTAGTGAGAGGTCACAGTGGTGTTCTGCTGTGAGCTGTCTCCTTCGAGGGGCGTGACTGGCCAGCTGAGAACATCCGTGGGTG